GAGAAAAACAAAACTCTGGGGCCAGCTAACCCTGAGTTAAAATCTTGGTTTTACCATTTATTGGCTGGATAGCCTTGGGCTAAGTGACTTAATGTCTTAGGGCCAAATTATTTCATATACCAAATAGTGTTCTTATAAAGATGAAAGATAATAAAAATTAATATATGTTATATAAGCCAATTTACTATATGAATAAAACTATGCTTGGTTCAGTTAGTTCTTAAAAATTTTGCCTCCCTTTGCCACCTTAGGTTCTTGTTTACATGGTACAAGCATTATAAACCATCCTCCTTCTTCTTTATCCTATCAATGCATGAAAACTATCTACAACCTTGAGCTTCTGATCCTAACACAGAATTTGGGGTCAAAATATTAAGATATGATCATGATTTTCTTACTTATCTACTTTGAGATTTTGGAACACATTTTGGAAGATCCTGGAGCCAGACAGTTAAAAGAGATTTTTATATCCTCTTTCAAATCTTAAAAAGGCCCAGGGCTTTTTCCATCTACAAAATGAAATAATTCACAGGACAAATTATGTACTTGATATTTAAAAATAACTTTGAGCAGCTTCAAAATATATAAATAAGAAGAAAAAAAAAAAAACAATGCATTTGGTTGCTAGGGGAAATGGATTCTGCAACTTCAGAGAGCAATAAATTAAAACATCTCCAGGTACCTCAAGTAATTAGTTCTATGACCCAGATAGACTCGTTGAGTTCTGGAGCCATCAGAGACTGCAGAGTGTTTTGGATGCTTACAACCAGGGCCTGTCCTGCCCACTTACCCCTTTCCTCATCCCCATATGGGCTTGGAAATACTTGAAGAGAGAAAGCATTATTTGACTGATTTATTGAAGTTTATTTGACATACAATAAAGTATACAATTTGTTACTTTTTCACATGTGTATATCCACCTGTGGAACCATCACCACAATCAAGATACTAAATTTATCCATCACGTTGTAGGGGTTTTTTGATTGCTACAGCAACTAGGAGATATTACTGGCAGGGCCTGGGGACCACAGATCTTCTGAAATGTACTGTCTTGCACAAAGAGTTGTCTTATCCAACAAGGCCAATAGCACCTCCATTGAGAAACACTGGGCCAAATCCCTTTGCTAAATCCATGAAGACACTGAGTCCAGATGATGAAACTGAGGCAAGACTAGTTTCTTCTGTTTACTGTAAATCCATCTGGTGTGCCTGTGTTACTTACACAAGATAGCATCTGCTGAAAGAAATTCTTGGTCTGAATCAAATGTTGAGGCCAGCACCTGCCATGGTGGCGTGGGAGTCCGAGTCCAGGGGCATAGAGCCAAGCCGGGACAATAATTCTTTTTAATTTAAAAATAACAAATAAGAAAAAAAATGCATCAAATGTTAAATTTTGTATTGCCATTTTTGTTTTGAAGGCAAGATACAGACTTTCATTTTCATGGGGTGTTTTTAGTAAGGTCGCCTGAATGAATAGAAAGCATTTCATGTATACTTTAAATAGTATAGTTTGTTACATGAACCTGAAAAGACAGTCCAGTCATCCCATGTGGCAGCAGAACCATGCTAGGACCCAGGCTATTTTTCACTCTGGTCAATTTGATTTTTTGGTTTTGACCCCAGCAATATTGCCTCACAAATCCATTTTTTTGTTTGTTTGTTTTTTTGAGACGGAGTCTCGCTCTGTCCCCTAAGCTGGGGTGCAGTGGCGCCATCTTGGCTCACTGCAAGCTCCGCCTCCCGGGTTCACGCCATTCTCCTGCCTCAGCCTCCCGAGTAGCTGGGACTACAGGCGCCCGCCACCGCGCCCAGCTAATTTTTTGTATTTTTAGTTGAGACAGAGTTTCACCGTGGTCTCGATCTCCTGACCTTGTGATCCGCCCGCCTCGGCCTCCCAAAGTGCTGGGATTACAGGCGTGAGCCACCGTGCCCGGCCAAATCCATTTTTTTTAAATTCAAGTACCCACCCAAATCCTACCCATCTGCACCTTTTTCCCTGGACTGGACTCTCGCCTGTCTTTCAGAGTAGATTCACACCTTCGGTCCATGAATCTCCAGCCTTTGTCTTCAGTCACACAGAACATTCCCTCACAAACTCTGCTATCTTTCCACTCACCAGTCCCCACCTTCCTCTTCCTACAAATCATCACTAAAAGGTAAGGCAGACAGCATGTCATTTTTTGGTCTAATATCTGATTATTTTAGACAGCCCAGAGAAAGGGTTGATTTGTAATTATAATTGTATGCACAGTTCTCTATCGCACTATTTAAATCTAACTTAATCCAACTAAATATGCCTATATGCAAACATCTATATCTATTTAGCCTTTCTATTTCATGCATCTATTTTAAATAGTTTTAATCTATATTTATTATGTATTTTCATTACTCCATTGCATATGTGTGTATATATATATGTGTATATACACACACACACACATATGTGTATCACTTAATACTTTTCAAAGTTCTTCTTACAGACTTTTACTCATTTTACACAATACTATTATAAAGAAAATGAGGGAGGTAATTTTTTTCTTTTTCATTCTTTTTTTTTTTTGAGACAGAGTTCAGTCATCCAGACTGAAGTACAATGGCAGGACCTCAGCCCACTGCAACCTCTGCCTCCCAGGCTCCAGAGATTCTCCTGCCTCAGCCTCCTCCTGAGTAGCTGGGATTACAAGTATGCACATTTATAGGCTGCAAATACTCTAAAATGCTATATTTTAAATGTGACAAGGGATACCTCTAAATAAACGAAAGTCAGCTAGCTACTCCTCTGCCAGTGAGACACCTGCTGCTGCTACCTTGGATGACAGTGAAGGCAAAAGACACAAAGTGCTAATAGATGTCATTTGGATATTTAAGATGCTTTTAAAAAATGATTTGAGTTTTATTAGTTGTAAGAGACGTGTGATAACTCCAAGAACAAAATTTGTTATCTACCAGAAAAGTTCTCTCTCTCAAGTGGAAAGTCATGGGCGAGGCCAGTGGTTCTCAAACCTTTCTGTAATGAGAATCACCCCAAGGGCTTGTTAAAACAGATTCCTGGTTCCCACCCACAGAGTTTCTAATTCAGTTGGTTTGGGTGGAGCCCAAGAATCTGCATGTCAACAAGTTCCAGGTGTGCTGGTATTTAGGATTTGGGGACCCCATGCCTGAGCTATGCTTTCCCCAAGAGCCCGTCAATGGCTGGCTATGTTGATTGGACACTGGAAGTAGAAGAGGTCAGTCAGTGAGGATGGGGGGAGCACATGAAACATCTTTATACCCCCACATTCAGCTGTAATGCCCTCAGCACCCTGAGCTCACTGTCTCCACACTCTCACCAAAGTCCTCCATTTCTCCTGTTCTTTGTAGCCAAAGAACAACAAAGTTGAAATCTCTGGGTAGAGACCTTTGGAGACCATGAGAACTCAAACAAACATCCTGCAAACACACAAGCATTATGAGCCTAAAAAAATCATACCAAAAGATGAAGATAAACTCAAGACCCCCTGGCTTTTAAGAGAAAAATATGTACTTAATACATACTTTTTTTTGGAATGGTAGACTGTTAAAAACAAACACAGAGAACAATTCCAACTATAGAAAGAAGAGTAGGATCATGAGCAAGGATTATATCTTGGGCCTTGGAGTTGTCCATTTTCTGCCTGGAATCTGGTTCTCATGGCTGCTAGAGGACCCTAGACAAGTAGACTTCAAAAGGCCAGTAGACCAACTTTATTCTGCAGCTAAGAGCATTTGAAGTAAAACTAGGTAGCTGACTTTTAAAAATTTATGGGCTCCGGTCCTTAGTGACTATGTGGGGGTTACCACATGTCCACATACAAGTTTCATTTTTAGGCAATTGACACCTGCACACAGAGATAAATGTGTTAACATAATTCTTCTAAAGATACATACAGATTTTTAATAAGGTGATGGGGACACTAGTGGTAAACAAAGTGTCACTTTAGCCATGTTTACCCAAGCCTGGTAATAACAAGGCTTATTTTGAAGAGAAATGTTAAAATCAATTCTCACAGCTTCAAAGACAAAATAATTACCTCCAAGTCCCCAAATTGAACATCTTTATTTTTATTTTTCAGATCATTTGAAAAATTCTGTCACTTGTGGTGATTCTTTTTTTTTTTTTAATTTTTTTTTTAAAATCAGTGTTGACCAGGTTGATCTCGAATGCGTAGCCTCGCCTCCCTGAGTGCCAGGGCAACCGGCCTCAGCCACGATACTTCTTATTTAATGATTACTTCTTCTCTTCCTAAATGAAGGTAGTAATATAATTTTTAATTAATTAGTTTTATTGTGGTAAAATATACTGAACATAAAATTTACCATGTTAGCCATTTTTAAGTGTACAGTGCTGTGGCACTAATATATTCATATTACCATCATCCATTTCCAGATGCATTCGTTTTTAAATAATTGATCCCATCACCCTAAAATGATGAAAGCTAGAGATAATATGTATGGGTAACCTTGGTATTTTTGCAAACAGCAGGATTCTCTATGTTTTCCAGAGGAAAGTTAAGTTAAAGTCGTCATAAAAGAGAATAGATAAGACTAGACTCAGATTTGAGGCCCAATTGTGGGCCTAGCTCATGCTTTTAAATTAGGGGGAGCAAAAACCTAGCACCAGCTGCTGCTTCACGGAAGCCTTCTTTCTCTAAACCCTTGGTGGACATTACTCTGTAATTACTGCACTCTTTCCCACTGAACCTCAAAATCTTTCTCCATATGGTCTTCCAGGTATTTATCATAACTAATTAGAATTGGTCCATAGATGAAACCTATTTACCATCTTCACATAAAAATTGCGAGGCATCAGGAAGTAATTGCGATGAAACAGGAAGTAAACATCATTTGGACTGCCTTTGGCCTGCCAAAGGCCCAATATTCACATCTGTACATGTAAACATGCACATAGTAGAAAAGCCCTTCAATACGGGGTTGTCACAAAGAAATAGCATGGAAATCATCACAAATAAAAATGTTCTTACCTAGGTAGAAACACACTTTCCACCACATAAAAGTCTTGCATAAGAACATCTCGTTCTGGCTTGGAAGTGAGATTGCCCACTGTGTATCCTATTCCCAGCTGAATAGCACCTTTAATAGCAGATGATGCAGTCTGCAAAGAAAACAAGGGTCTCAACATTAGTCTTAAGAGTCAGGGCCTTGTTCAATGGTACAGGCAACAAAACGTGAGTGAGGTTCGATTCTCTTTCTGGCTCCAAAACAATGACAAGGCTGAGGTTTGGCAAGATGATAAGTTGCTTCTTTTGATGCAGAATCTATTCCAAATATTAAAGCTCTTTCTTTTCATACATTTTTTTGTGATAATGTTTCTTATAAATAAATGTTTAAAGGTCAAATTATAATCCAATTGCTCATCTTCCTTTCACTAAGAACTCAGGAACTTGAAGGAACACTTTCAATAAATAGTATTATAATTTCTACCCAAAGACAAATGGTATATTCACATTTTAAAAAATAAGAACTTCTATAACATATTTATAAATTAGTAAGAGTATTTTACCTTCATAAGAAATGAGAGAGAAAAAAACAATTTGAATCTTTAGAGTACACAAATAATTTGGAAATTGCTTACTAGTCTCACCATAGATCCATAATAATTTCTTACACTGATCTATGCTAAAACATACAGCATGGGGACATCAATATTTCCCACTTACTACTTTTCTGGTATCATCCAATAATTAAGCTGATGTAATGTTAACTTTGAGAATAACTACTGTAAATATGTATATATGTGTGTGTGTGTGCACGTGCGTGTGTGTATGAGTGTACACATTTATAGTTTTAACCAACATAATAGGAGAAATAACAGAATAACTCCATTTAGGACAATTAGAATGTATTTTTTTATGGTGAAATGTGTCATACTTTTTATGCCTTGCACTGCCTAATGTAGTGCTACATACATGGTAGGAATTAAACACTTAAATCGGTGGTTCTTCACCAGGGACATCTGACGATATCTGAAGACATTTTTCAGTAATCACAACTGGTGGTGGTGGCATTATGTCTGGTGGGTAGAGGCCAGGGATGCTGCATAGGCCAGTTCCCACCACAAAGAATCATCCAGACCAAAATGTCAATAATGCCGAGGTTAAGAAACACTGACTTGAATGGATGTAATAAAGATCATTGACTTTATAGAAAAGATACTTTCTTACTGATTTAATGTTTTTACCCAGCAAATCTAAGATCCATCCCCACCTCCCCACATGCTTTGTATCTTTTTATTTCTTCAAGCTTTTAACACCAGAGAACACCTGTCTATTCTGGAAAAAATTTCTTCTCTTGATTTCTATGATAGAATATGGTCCTGGAGCCACTTCTATATATATAGAATACATACACATACACACACACACACACACACATACATTTTTAAATTTTTTTTTAAATTTATTTTTTTTTTGAGACAGGGTCTTGCTCTGTTGCCCAGGCTGGAGTGCAGTGGTGCGATCTCAGCTCACTGCAATCTCTGCCTCCCGGGTTCAAGCAATTCTCATGCCTCAGCAGCCTGACTAGCTGGGACTACAGGCATGCACCACCACGTCTGGCTAATATTTGTATTTTTAGTAGAGATGGGATTTCGCCATGTTGGCCAGGTTGGTCTCAAACTCCTGGCCTCATATGATCTGCCCACCTCAGCCTCCCAAAGTGCTGTGATTACAGGTGTGAGCCACCATGCCCGGCCTACTTCCAGCTTTTCTGATAGTCTCTCCTGTCACTTCTTCACTGACCTCTCATATTGTATTTGCTATAATTGCAGTGTCCCCAGAATTTGGTCCTTGATCGTCAGGTCTCCTTAATTACCCTGGTAATCAATTCATTCCTAATGGCTTAAATACGGTTTCTATTCAGATGGCTCGCAGATTCTTTTCAATCAATTGGGATGCTGTTCTGTCAACACAAATGCAGTGTATACAGAGCCCAATTAATATCTTACAACCTCTCCACACCACTTCTAGATTGACTTCATTTCCCAAGGCACTGTCATCTTCAGTTATCCAAACTTGACCTCCAAACAGACTACATCTAGAACAGGGCTAGGTCTCCAGTCCATTTATTGACTACTTTCCCATAGGGGCATCATTTCATCACTTTGCTTATTCCACAATAAAGGTTATGTCACCTTTAGTGTGAGGACAACTATCTACATCCTTGACACTTAAGGAGGTAGAAAAATGTCTTCGTGTTTTTCTTTTTTCACGTACCCTTTTATTTAAGATCCTAGGACAGCAAGATGGCAAAAGACTAAGACTTAAGCCCACAGCGCATTCAGTGTTTCTTTAAAAAAAAAAAACAAAAAAAAAAACCTGCTATTTTAATGCTCCCTCTCTGAGCTCTGCAATGTCACCAATTGGCGTCAGTGACCTTTTGTACCAGTAGCTCTGACTTTTAAAGGCTGAAATGGATTTTCTTTATTTTAACCTTGCATAAAAATTCAAAAGACATCTCTTCTCCCACGCGTCACTCAGACTGGTAAGGCACAAGAGGTGACATGAGCACTTCCCAGAGGGCCCAATACGCCACATTGTTCTAAGCCAGATCTATCAACAGGTGCTGCCCAAGTGCTCTGCACCCCCCGTACCGTACCCACCCCCTACCACACCCCTGACCCTGCTTTCCAGAACTACCTGTATCTGCTTAACCCACAAAACCACCACGATAACATCATTTGAACACTTCTTGGGCTGGAACAGCCAGCCAGAGTATCCAATTCTTTGTTGTCTCCACCCTGGCAATAGAAGGTAGTCAAAGCTGTGACTAGTCTACACATAGTGATATCAAACTTCAGGAGCATGAGAATCACTGGGTACACTTGCTAAAACAGATGACGGTCATGTCCCCAGAATTTCTGATTCCAAAGGTCTCGAGTGAGGACCAAATATATGGTCTTGTTCTAAGAAAAAATCTTTCTCCTCTGGTGTGAGGTTAAGTTTTGAGTCCCTGAGGAGTAAGATTTTGAAAAGAACCCTGCTGTTATATATTTAGTTAAATCAAAAACAGACTGGTAATAATATTACTTTCCATTCACAGCATTTAAAATTCAGGTGCTCTGATGGGAGACATAATAAAAGTAGTTATTAATCTTTTCAGACCAACTAATTTATGCCAGGCACTTGATATATGAATAACAACAATTATGATCATAATCTGTCATAATCATAGCACATACTAATGTAGTGTTTATTACTAAATGGCAGGCACTGTTCTAACTGCTTTCTGGTTATATTAACCCTTTTATCCTCACGACTCTATGATGTAGGCACTCTTACTGTTTCTATTGCCTCAGGAAGGTTTAGCAACTTACACGAGGTCACACAGCTACTGACAAGGTGAAGCTGGGACTCACCTCTAGGAAGGCTGGCTTCAGAGTCCCAAGTTATACTCCACTGCCTCTAAATCAGAATCTCCTCACTCATTTGACCCTCTCCAGAAACATGAAGCATAGTAACAACTGTTCCCATTTTACAGGGGTGGATTTAGGCTCAGCAAGTTTAAGTGACTTGCCCAAGTCCCTTTGCTAGTGTGTGGTGGAGTCTGACTGCCAAACCCAGGCTGCCTCCACATCCATGTTTGTAAAATGAGCCTAGAATCAAAGTTGGAAGTTCTCTTTTAAGTTTAGATGTTTGACTTCAACAAAGCAAAAGCTCTGAGAGAGTCATTCCTTTTGGTGAAAAAAGGGTAAAAATGTTATTTGCTTCCAATCATACCCACCCACAGGTAAGCCAAAGAAAAACTTGTAAACCTCTTGGTAAAGCTGTACAAACACCATCGTTAATGTCACCACTGGTAACACGGGGACTATTAACAAAAGGCGTTATTTTGCTGACATACTAGGAATGACACCTCAAAGTTTCCTCCTCCCCAGGTCTGTGTAAAAATTAAGTGCTTTAATATTGATACATTTGGGTATCGCTAAAAAGCGTCTTATATATGGAATCTAAAAATGTTGAACTCGAAGTAGAATGCCAGTTACCAGGGGCTGGTTGGGGGCTGGGGGCTTGGGGAGATATTGGACCAAGGATAAAATTTCAGTTAGATAGGGGGAATAAGTCCAAGAGATCTACTGTACAATGTGGTGACTACAGTTAATAACATGGTTGTATTTTAAAAATCACTAAGAAAGTAGATTTTAAGTGTTCTCATCACAAAAAATAACTATGTGAGGAAATGCACATTGCCTCAATTAACTAACTCCACTGAGTCATCTCACAATGTATACATATTTCCAAATGTCATGTTGTACACAATAAAGATATATAATTTTTACTTGTCAATTAAAAAAATAAAATAAAAAAAGCATCTTACTTTGTGGAAATGTCTGAGGCACATCCTAATATTAAGCAAGATGTACTTTGAAACTGTGAAAAAACCCTTTGAAACACTACCTGGATTGTCTCTGATGAGATTAGTAAATCATGATGATGACAAAGAACCTTCTGTGTGAAGTGCTAGTGATTGCACTAATAGAACCAATAGTCCTTTCCCTGATAACTCTAAGCCGCTAGAGCTCCCTTCCTTCCTCCAGGATGCCTCCAGGAAAGCTTCTCCGCTTTCCTCTGCATGGCTTGGTATGTGCTCTAAAAGTGCTAGGACAGGACTACTGCCCCTTTGAGTGCCAAGGGGAACCTTTGACTCCTTTAAAACATATAGGTATAGGTTTCAGAACACAGCAATCAGAGTCTATTTTTAATTCAGGTTTTTGCAAGGGCTAAGTGGAGGCAATATGTTGCCTGGATACTAGAAAAACCTCTAAAAGCATATGATACTTGGAGAAAGGGAGAACCATATAATATCACAAAGGCAAACCACAAACATTTAGTTTCACAGCTCCTCTGTATTAACCCAAATGTGTTCAGATATGATGGTAATACTAAGAGGAAAATGAATATCAGCTTGCATTTGGGTAATATGTTATGGTTTTCAAAGCCCTGTCTTTTAATGATCACATTTGATTGTCACAACTGTTACATAGGTAGGGTTTCTAATGCCATAGTATAGATAAGGAAACCGTGGCTCTGGGAGATGAACTTGGCCTAAATCCCTTGGCTAGTGTGTGCATACTCTGGTCTTCTAGAAGGCTCCCAA